CTTTCCCTTTTAAAAAGCAGACGCAATTACATACAAAACACCGTGTTAAAACACTGGTTAGGTTGCAAAATTCACTTCCCCTTCCCCCAAGAGGATCGTCATCAGACCGCGTACTCCAAGTAGCACCGATGACTCTGGAAAGTTTTAGTTCCCACTTCTCAAACGTGCCTGGGACTCTGGCCGCCCCCATCCCAACAGCCTGTGCCATGCAGGCTGCTCGGTCTCTCCCCTCTCGGACAAGTCCTCCAGACATTTTCACTGCTACACAAACATACCTGTCCACACAGATGTCTCGAGACAGCCAGTCTCTGCAGGCCCCACAGCTTGTCAAAAACCCACCAAATATTCCTTGAGTCTGAACCGCCGAAGCAGTGCCGTCACGTAGCATTTTCCTTCCCTCTCCCAGCAGCCTGCCCGTACCACGAACGTGCCCCCATCAAAGGCCACGTGCAAGCCGCAAGGCTTAGAGGTCACGTTGGCCAGGACTCTGATCCACTTGCTAGAAAACAGCCCAGCTGCAGAGGTCAAGGCTCAAACCTCATTTCCCACCTGGCAAAAGCCTGTACATAGAACAGGTAGCGAGAGAGTTCAGCCTTGGCATCGCAGAAGTCAAGCACGATATGCTGGCACTGCACAGGCCCCATAACCCGCTCCCAATGGCACCAGGACACAGCCGCAGACAGTCGTTTTGTTTTCCAAGAAGAGTTTGAGTTTTAAGCGATGGCCCTAGCCGTGCTCCCACGCAAGTATGCTGCAGAGGCAGACCAGGTCCGCTGCAGCGAGACCGCTTCAGCTGGAGGACAAACGTGACCTGGAGTACCCAGGGGAAGCAATAGCTTAGCTGCAGAAACCCTGGGTAAGAAAGTGTTTAAGGAGTGGAAGGACAGAAGTCTCCCTTTGAAATCACTGTTTTTTATTTCCTTCCCTAAAGATGAAGTGAAAGCTTGCCTACATTCAACAGTTCCCGAAGCAGCCACGGGTATGAATTCAACCACAATTACTTAGTGCGACCAATTCCCCTGCAGACACGCTCCAGCATGTCGGGGCCCTTTTCAAGTTTTGTTCAACACGGCTTCGGTTTAAGATAAGCCCAAATGGTACCTTTTCCTTCCCACAAGGAAAGTTATACCGACATGCCGTGTGACGCTGACACGGTGGCTGAAAGAGCCTGCACGCGTGTGCAAAACGTCTTCAGTGACCCAAAGAGAGCAGTTTCCAGAACAGCTGTTCCGTCACTAGGAGCGGGGCACCTACTGCTGGGTCTGGACTCGGCATTACTTCGGACGCAGCCAGGTCTCCTCCGTCTTACAAAGCGATGCCCCTGCGCGCAGCACCCATGCTCAATCCCAGCCAAGTGGCTCCAAGTCTGGAGTCCACATCAGACTCTGCCTCCCTTCAGCCGGTGCCAGGTCTCTGTAGGACTTTGAAGCCAAGTGAGCCCTCGTCACACTTTCCACCCTCACCTATCAAATAGGTCACCAGAATCCTGAACCGAGCGAGGTGCCAGGGGCCCCCCGAATGGATCCGTGCCAAATGCAGGCGCACCCCCATGCCGGCCAGACACCTAGGAGGGTGGGCGCGGAGGGTCACCATCTCTCCCCCTGGTCCCCAGTACTGAAAGTGTTACTCTGCTGTTCGCTAATTGTGGGGGTTTATTTTTATTTCCTATTAGCCTCGCGCACGCCTGATGAGATTATCTTACCGGAACTGACACAGCTGGAAGCTGCAGCCATACGTGGAGCCTCTGAGGAGGTGATGCAATTTCATTTTCATTGATCAGAAATCAGCAGGGCAGTAGATGATGGGAAATTCCATTAGGGGAACGAGTGGGCCGCGGGACCGAGGACCCGGGAAGCAGCCCTGCCTCCGGACAGGAGCGCTAGCAAACAAACCCTCCGGCCTCCCAAACTGGAATGAGCAACTAGGCTGCTATTGTTACGCACAGACGGCTCTGCTGGGAGCGGAGCGCAGCATGGCAAAGCTGTTAAAATGCCCCCAAGGGTTCACTTAGTCAACATGGAAAAATCTCTCTCACAGCATAACTGAGCTCTCCAAACCCTTGCCTCCCGTGCGGCTCCTGGCCCATCATGGCCGCGGGAAACACCCTCCTTCCCCTGTCCACGCTCGGGGCTGCTACTGCACGATCAAGAAGGTCTCAAGAGTGAGCTCCCGTTTCTGCGCCTAATGGATAGCACATTCCTGTAGACCAAGCGAGCAGAGATGCAGCTCCGCGCCAGCAGTTTAACCAGTTCCCGGGCAGTCTCCGAATGGAAGAAACTCCCGTGCTGAGCCAGGCCACGTCCGACAGCTTCCCCTCCAGTTCTGAGCTCCTGTTCATGTCCAACTCCAGTGGGTCTTTGCTCTCCGGATAAAGAGCTACCTATCTGTTAATCCCAGGGCCAACACACAAGCAAGACACGGGGATCTCAAGCCATGTCCCACGCCTGGGCAAACCCTCTTCCAGGAAGGCACGACAGCCGCTACTGCGACAATCAAAACCTACCGAGCAGGGGAGGCCAAGAGAGATAATTCAGCTTCCGATATTCAAATTCTGAGTCCCATTTTAATGCTACTGCTCTAATTGTTTTACATATCAGGTAGAGGGAGTATGCGGCGAGGCTCCCCGTTCCCGGTTTTAAACCCGAGCCGAGCCTCTCCGCACAGAAGCTGGTTTTGGCCCCCGTGCTTTCGAAGCGGCCCGCGGGGCTGCCTCTCCCCTCTCGGCAGAGCAGGGGTTAACAGAAGCTGACCGCAGCACAGTTGTTAAGGTAATCAATACCACTGAGATACTAAAGCAGCATAAGCCACATTATTGATTGCCAAGCAGATGATAAAACTGTTTATTATGATAATTGCAGGGTGCCTGCAAGATGCTCCTAGTGCTTCCTTGAGCCTTTTACAAAAATAATAAAGAACTGCCAGGCCATAATCTTCTGTCTGAAAACCCCTCGAACTGGAACCGGAGTCCTCCGCGCCCCGCCACGCCAAAGCAGCGACCGGCGCTCGCTTCATCTTCATCTGCGAGGTGCCGCTGTGACGCGCCGGGTCGCACTGCTGGAGAGCCGGGTCCTGAACCGGCCGCGCCGGGTCCCACTGCTGGAGAGCCGGGTCCTGACCCGCTGATCCCCCCCATGCCTCTCTCTATCCACCCAGCTCCTGGAGGAGAAAGGGAGCAGAGGAAGAGGCTTAGGAACACGGCCAGGGTCCAGCCCCACTTTCCGTGCCGATTGGGAAATACTGGCACGTTTCCCGTCTGCAGCTAGCTCTAGTCCCAGCGGGTATTCGGGTTCAAGAAACCCCACGTTACGTGAACGTCCAGACTCATTTGGAGCTCGTGGCCGGGAAGGACTCAAACGCGCGTCTTAGAGATGGGCGGATGGAGGCAAACACTACAAGTCTCCCGTACGAAGACCTGCGCTCTCCCCAGACGGCAGCATGCCCTACTACTCTGAACCGGGGATGCCAGAGGAGGCCACCAAGCGATCGTGGCAGCCCGAGCAGTAATTTTGGTGGCACGGCACAGGAAGGCCGACGCAGCGCTTCAGGCACATCCTTGAGAGCTGGGAGACCCGAGTTCAAGTTCCCGTTCTACCACACATCCAGTGTGACCTCCTGCACGCTGCAGCCCACCCACTTCCCACCGTACTGGGCCTGGGCGTTTGGGCTAGACATGCTGTGCTGTGCGAGCAAAGCACCAGCCTGTGCCCACGGTCTCACCCGCACAGCTGTGCTTCGTGCCAGTACAGCAGTCCCGTGCTAACCTGTCTGAGATCAGCTAGCTATCCCGGTAAAGGTGTAAATTGGCCAGGATAGGTGTCAGCCCTCCAGGGGGTTTGGTCCAATAATTAATCCCCTTCCCTGTGATTGGCCTGGCTTTCCACATCTCGTCTCCGGCTCTCAGCGGACCTCTCCCCACTAGATTAAAGAGCCCCTTAATACCCAGCATCTTCTCCCCACGAAGGGGCTTGCACATCCTAATAAAGTTGCCTCAATCTTCTTGCTGATCAGCTAAACAGATCGAGCGCCTTAAAACCCTCACTAGACAGCACTCCCTCCGCGCTTCAAATCATCTGCTTGGCACGTCTCCAATTTTTAACATCCTTTAAAACAACAACAACAGATATCAAATGCACGTGGTACATGATAGCGGTCTTGCCCTCACCATTCCCAGAAATAAAACTGCCTCCAGACTCCTACTCGAGATTCCCATTACACGCCAGGGTCACAGAGCTCCTCGCTTCCTCCGCCTCGCGTTGGGAGCTCGGGCACAGCTGTCCGTCCAGTTGGACCCGAGACCCTTGTCAGTCTGTTCCCCAGAGAACGGGCTGCGTGCTGCCGCGGCGGTCCGCACCCCTGCTTCTGGATGTCGCGTCTGCCCTTGGGCTCTAGCAGAACGCACCTGGCATTGGAACGCTTCCAGCTAACCAAGTGATCCAGATCTCTCTGCAAGACTGCCCCATCCTCATCCTCATTTACCAGTCTGCCAGTCACTACATGATCTGCAAATATATTCAAAAGGTATTTCCTACAGGGTCACTGATGAAAATGGGGGATGTCTGAGTGTAGTACCAATTTGGGTGGAACCCACTGGGAAAAAGAAATCAAGGGAGATTCCCCAAAGATACCTACTTTTCTGCAAGTTAAACAGTTCTTAGACTGAAGATTTTATTTTACAGATATTGCTTACTGCTTCCATCTCTCTGCCTCAGCTCCCCATCCCTACAATGGGGATAACTTTTCCACTTCACCAAACGGCGAGAGGAGAAGCACAAACATTGCGAGGAGTCAGATAAGTGCCCACGACAGCCCGGGGACAAACCGATATCAACTTGTTAGCAAGATCTGTATTCTCATCCAAAGAGACGAGCGCTCTCCATCACTGTGCGGACTGCTGACTGTCTGACACCATCCGGGTCATTCCCTGTAAGTAATTACAGGTGGCATGTGGAAAATAAACTGTACCTGTGAAGACACTTATTATTGTATCAGAGCAGATCCCAATTAGCAGCTCCCCAGGACTAGGCAGGGAGGTTCGACTCTTCTCTCGTCCCCACGCCCCCTTTCATACTGCTCTCTTGCCATGGAATAACTCCCCAATTCGGCAGGTCCCTCCACTGCTCTCATCCAGACCCTTCTCACAAGACTCACCTCTCCCACAAATTAGCCAGCCAGGGCTGTAGCACTGCTGAAAACACCGTCTTCTAGATAAGACACAAGACAGATGAGCCAAGCATTTGTCAGTATGGGACCTTTGCCAAGCGAAGGGATGTTGGACTCTGACCAGAGCACTGGAGCCAGCATGAGTAATGTCATACAGCCTCCCTAAACTCTACCTGCACTCATCAGCTATCTGATATTCATTTGCTTCCCATCTTAAACTGGTAGAAATTCACACTACAACATTAATGGTGCCAAATGGCATTGGGAGAGTGACCCCTGCTTTGCATCAGGTGCTCACGCACGACGTCCCTTCCCCTTTCCTGGGTCACGTGTCAGTTCAGAGACCCGGAGCTGCAAAGGAAGTGAACCTCAAGTCTCTCCAGGCCAGCCGAGGCTCCCCTTTGCTCCCGCTCAGATAGGAGCCTTGGGCAAAGGTGAGGTCTGGTTTTGCCCAAAGCAGCCGATGCCATGGCACGGCTTAGTGCATCAGACCGACGCTTCTCTTGGAAGGCCTGGAAGCGAGAAGGAATTAACCTGGACGCTGCTAGCGCAGTTTTGCTTTTGCCCACTCAAGGCACGTGGGCGCTGAACAGAATCCATAAGAACCGGGGCAAAAACGTCCAAAACATGCGTAAGAGCATTTGGGATCAGCACTCTGTCCCGAGTACTACTTGGCCATGCCTCTTGCAAGAGAGGCTGCTGGCGTCGGTGTGCTCGCAACCACTTCTATACAGCGCTTCTTTGCAGGCGCTGCGCGTCCTACTCTTTCCACATCTAGTCTGCTTTAAAAACCAACCTGCCAACCCCCTACTTTGTCCCTTGAAAGAGAAAAAGGATCAAGAACCAAAGCTGAAGCCCGGGCTTCGCACCCAGCATGCAGAGCTGTCTTCATCGGATAAGCCCAGGATGAACATGGGTCTGAGAGTTAATTAACGCAAGCCTCTCTTAAAACACACGTCTCTCTGAAAAGTTCTCTCACCTCTAACAATTCGAGCAGCTCTGGGGCCACCTTCCCCATCTCCGGACGGCCGCCCACCCTGGCTAGGGGACAAGGAGCAGCGGACGGAAAGGGTTACTGAACGAGCGAGTCTTCACAAGCTTCCCTCATTGCTACTGCTGTCTTTTTTTTTTGTGCTCAAAGAGTTATCGCAGGAGGGCTGTTTAGTTAGAAGCCCTCAAGCTGACCTTTGCTGACAGTCTCCAAGCTCCCCATGTAAACTGATCTAATGTTAGGCAAGGTAATTAGTGCCAGAGCAGTAATTGCAGCTTCTAACTACGCTGGACCAAGATTGCAAAGACTCCCCAGGGAGCCCTGCTGGGGACCCTAACCCACACACACAGGCATCTGCTCTCATCCAAAAGGAGGGACTCAGCAACATTTCTATGAGACGCCAGCACTTTCCCTGGTTTTAATTAAACTGGGACTGAGGGTAAGGAGAAGGCAGCGAGGAGAAGTTAATAAATAAATGGAAGCCTAGAAGGCAGTCAGGAGTTTGCCAAGGCAAAGCAGGTATTCTCAGGACGGCGCCAGCATCGGACACCGCTACACATCCAGAGCCGTGCAGCGCCTCTCCCCGATCACTCCACCTCGTGCCTCCTCCTGCAAACGCCCGTGCCGTGCCAGCATCTCCCACCACGCCGTAACGCCGCGGGCAGAAACCGCCTGCCCCACGTGCAGCGCCGTTCGGACACGGCCAGCCTCCCCGCACCGGCCTGACGAGGCCTGGCGCGGCCGAGCACCCGCGTGGCCCGCCTGCGGGAGAGCCAGGGCCAGCACGCTGCTGTCCTCACACCCGTTTTCTTCGTTGTCACCAGTACTTTTAATGGGCACGTTTGAAGCAGCCTAACCCTCAGAGCTGAAGGAAGATCCTACTCCCGAAAAGACAATTGAAAGAGTCCACAAAGGGAGCTTCTCTCATCTCCCGAAACAATTTTCTTGCAGGTCTAAAAGGCGAGTCGCCTGGTCCGCGGCACATCCCCTGGACGGGGGTCTTCAGGCAATGCCCAGGGCAGCTGCCCACTCTGGAGGTGTCGACTGAATTCAGAAACGACTGACCCCGAGCGCTCCCGAGGAAGGCGGCCGTCTGCATCCCGCCACCTTCGGAGCAATTCAAGGCTTGCCATGCCCTTCCCACTAAAGGAAAGTCCCCAGTCGAGATAACCGTGCTTGCCCAACACTCAAACAAACCCAGGATCAGAGAAAAATCCCAGATGAAATGAGACTGCCACGGAGGTTACATCCACTGAGACACCAAAACCAAATCACGGCAACAGAGCGCTCCAACGTGTCCGACCGGCCGAGCCACGCGTCAGCCCAGCTTCCGCTCCTCCGGCAGGAGGCAGTTTGCCAAAGAAACACCGAGGAAAGGGCTCGTTTGAGCAGCGCTCGCAAGGCCTGCGCACGAGAGGAGCGCACGCACAAGCCAGCCTCGCATCCAGGTTTCCGACGGGAACAACGCAAGAAGAGCTCCAGGTCTCTCATCTGACGGCAACAAGCATGGGCCTGCACGCTGGCGCCCAGGTCACTGAGCGCTCGGGTACACCGCACCACCACGCACCTGGAAGAAACCGCTCCTAAAGCCCATGCACGTGCTCCACGCCCGAGATCTGCAGGGAGGCACCGAGCAAGAAACGCTCCCGTCCCGCACGGCCACTTCTCCCACCCCGTCCCAGGCCAGGTCCCTTCTCAGCTCCTCCCAGCGCTTGACATTCACGTAGTTGCGAACGCCCTTGGACAACGCAGACCACCAAGTCGCAAGCCTGCTAAATCAATGACGCTACAGACATACATTTGCAATGTTAAAATCAGATAGACAGACAGAGCGAGTTTTCACCCGGCATCGTTTCAATTGCTGCTGAACATGAACTCAAAGCACCACATTTTTCTTTCATTCACATCCCTCCTCTCTTG